ATTGTATATAATGATATATTTTCTAACCATTTTTCCTATTTCATCATTGTTAGAATAAGTATGAGAATAGGAGAGCTTGACTTTACTCTGCATTATCAAGTAAATTGTTCCCTTTTATATTTCTGTAGTCTACAATAACCCTATTAGCAAAAGTGACACCGAGCCAAACAAAACTGATTCAGGTTTTCGCAGTTCTTCGGGACTGCGTCTGTAAAACCATACTACATAAACTGTATTATGTAACTAATTTGGGCACAGACCTGAAACATCTCAAGATGCCATTTTCATAGTCTATTTACAGAGCAGAACTACATTTTTCCAGATTACAAATGTGTTTTCTTTTGCCAACCAGTCCTTGAAAGCAAGGGACAGAAAACAAAAGACTCTTGTATGTCTCAATTTTGGGGGGTTGAATTCATGGCTGCCACAAGCCATAGATAACTGCATGCAATGCCGTGGCCTAAAAAGGCTCGATGGAAGCGACAGGACATTATCATTAGCTTTACGTCATGCCCTCAACCCTGGAGTCAGGGGTCTAACCTGAACAGCAGTGAGACTCAAACAGCTCCACCCTTCTTCCCATTCAAACAAGCAGAGGCCGCAATAAGAAAATACATCCTTGTAATCTTTCCAGATAGGATCTTTGCCAACGTAGGTCAGGTTTTTAATTCAACAACCATAATAGGGTCCCTTGAATCTGACATTTGTCTTTCACTTGAAAACTGAAATTCCTGATATGACAAAAACACCTGATGCCTAAATATTGCTGTAAACAAGGCATTTTCAGCTTATGAATTTTTCAGTAAACTCCATGACAAAATTAAACAATGTAATTTGTGTAAAAATCATCCCTACTAGTGAGCCCACATGACTGCTTGTTTATTAAGTGTTAGTAAGATGCCACGCTTTATTGAGTTCACGTTGACAGACGGGAGTGTTTGAGAAAGTACCTTCAGTCCAAGCCAGTAAGCCCAAATGACTGCAACAGCATGCTTACGCCTAGCCTCCTCCTTCAAGCGTTTCAACTCCCTTCGAGCCTAAAAGGTTTAGATAGTGAACAAAAGAGACAGCCCGATGCAGACAGCACAACGACCAGGAAAAGGCTTCTCCCAAATAGAACAGCCAACTTACAATCAAGATATAGAAAGATGGAAGAACAGCGTTTAACCTTTAAAACCCAACGAGTCAGTGTGAATTAGTGTGAAGCCACACAGGAGGTCAAAAAAGCCTCCACTGCTGCTCAAGTGGCGTGTACAGATAAGAATTTTGTCAGCCCCCTTATCAGCGTTTGCATCGTCTCCTCCATGCACACCTTGCAATCAGTGGTAAGTATCTTGTAACTTGATTCTAAGGGAGAACTTTGCCTGCAGTTGCATGACCAAAATGATGCCTACAAAAAATCAAGACTTACTAAAATCTCACCATCTAGTCACTTCTTCCACTGGCAAGCGCCTGGGCAGAACAGAATCAACTCTGAAATTACGTATGTAATGATGAATTACCAGCACTGTACTGAGGGCTTTTATTCTGGAGGTTATTTTTTATTTTGGTCTTTATGTATTTTAAAAAAAGAATCTCCAGCCTGGTAAATTATGTCTGTCTGTATGGAATGAAGGCAGTAACCCCCCAAACCTAGTGCCTTCCTCACGTGCAAAGAGATAGTCACCTACTTACATTTCAGCCATCGTTCCCGTTTCAGGAAAGCAATACGCAAAGTATTCTAAACACAAAGGCAAGTGCGGGCAACTTCACAGAATCTCACATTTTAGGAGATACCAGGACATTTGTTATTCAGTTATCTGATGATAAAAGTCAAGTAAAACAAAGAGTTCCAGTATTATAGGATCAGCCGCAGCAGCTGTAGCGACAGATCTGCAGTGTTCAAGTTGTATGGTGCCAGACTTGTGCAAGAGCAGTTCCAGCCTGTGCCAGTTACACTTTTCTGATGTAGCTAGAAAGGTTAATTTGCGTTAGATGTAGGCTCTCATAAAGAGTATGTTTTCAGTCATCTGCTTGGAACAAAAGCTCCCACTATACAGCACTGTAAAAACAAGGACTCTGGAAAGCTAAGTATTTGTCTGTCTTGTGAAAAGGAAGGAAACTCAGTACTTGAGGTTTGTAGTGCTTTTTTTTCCCCTTTTTTTTTTTTTTTTTTTGGTAAAACAAGCCATCTCCGACGATAACTTTCAGAAACTTTTGTTTTAAATATTCCCCTGGGAAATGATAAAACATCACACCAGTAACAAGCTCTATCTCTTATCAGAGAGATACTGTGATTCTTTTTCTAATCTTAATTCAATTTAGATTATTATCTTTAGATATATATATTATATTCAGATTATTTATAGTTAAGGAATAAGGAGGCAATTTTTCATGAAATTTCTGTGAGCCAATTGATAAAAATAACTACTACAACATGTCAAAAATTATGCAAATCTACTAAATATTTAAATGAGGAGCTCTAACACAGTTAACACTATTGCATCCACTTTCTGGATGTGTCCTTTTTAATTCTAAAGAACATCTTAAACCTAGGAAAGTAAGTATCATGTCTGCAGTACTGAGCAATTTTTTGGTGAAAGGAACTCTGGTTAAAAATAAAAGAACTTAGCAATGTATTGCATTTAAAAAAACATAGAAGAAGCAGTGCGTCTGTCAAATTACATAGCTACCTGAATATCAAGCTAGAACTGAAAAGTTCTAAAGTCTCTCCAGGGAAATTCTGTACATGTTTATTTGGATTCCCAGGGCTGCCATTTCATTAGAAATCTAATAGATTTATATCAAAGTAGCAAAGGTCAAACTCAGCATTATACTCCAGATGTAACTTGAGCGCATTTCTCCATCTAGTTGGTAAGGTGTTCTGACAACACCCCCACACCACCCCTCCAACCTAAATAATAACTGGAAAATGTTTTAAAATTAATGTATTTACTGAATATGGTTTTCAGCTAAACTACAAATGTATTAATTGAAACCAATACATTTTTGACCTCTAGTGAACAGCATTTCAAATGTTCACATAACCCACGACTGCAGGCTGGGGATTAGCAAGAATCTTTCAGTGGGACTTTGCTTCTGAAAACAAACAGCTGATGCTGGAATTCCTGGGATTTTTCTAGGGCTGTAAGTTTAGAATTGCAAACTAACATCATTTTCTGCTAAAAGATCAGTTCATAAAACCATGCTTTACTTGTACTTACTGAAATTTTCTTACTGGTTCAAATCACAGACAGAGATTCAATTAAACCAATTAAAATTAAAATTTAGTAAAACTTAATAGCGTTGGTTTGAACTTGTAAATGAAGACTGCCCAGGGTGCACAATATACGGCCTGGTGAAAGTCTCAATTGGATCACTAAGATACAGTGTCACTGAAAGCACTTGTTAGGGGGAAAAAAACCACAGCAAAAAACCCCAACTTTCTCTCCCCCCGCAAAGCATGCTTTGCATATTTACATGTAGTTAAATGCATTTCCTAATTTGAGAATACTGTAGTCTAGTCATTTTTAATCTAGTCTAATGGCTTGTTAGTGCAAATCACTACTAGGTTGCCATGCAAAGAATTTCCTACTCTACAAAAAAACCTGACATACAGGATGTTGCCAGATTTATTAAGTGTGGCAAGAATGGATATGGGAGGAATCAATGATCATGCTCTATTATTTTAAAGTCAATTGTATTAGTCATTAATTCTCACTATTTACTACTGATTAATTGTTGATATTGCTGGGTAATGAAGGGGGGCATGTGATATGTGCATGAAGTACCTTATATCCAAGCCAGTAAGCCCAAATAACAGCAATAGCATGTTTATTCCTAGCCTCCTCCTTCAGCCGTCTCAGTTCCCTTCGCGCCTGTGATGCATTTGAAAATGGGATATAGAAAAGCTTAGGAAAGAAAAGGTTACTGCAAGTTCCCAACGGTGTGAGAAAGAAAGCAAGAAACCAGATACTACAAACAGCAAATATTAAAGTGTGTCCCAGCTTCCCAGATTGCACCAGCTAAAACATGTTAGCAGCAAAGAGAAACTAAAAAAAATAAAGTAAAATAAAATAAAATAAAATCAGCAGTTTAAGCTACTGAAAATATTTCCAAATAACTTTATCCTGAAGGGCCTTCTTCATTCTATGTAGAGACAATTAAGTGCACAATTTGTTGCCATTTCTTACCTGGGTACCATGCCAATAAGCAGCAATTATTGTAGCAGCCTCATTACAACGCTTCTGATGCTTAAGTTCCCGAAGAAGTTTCCGAGCCTGTACACAATTGAAAACATTATTTTATTCAAAATAATAATTATAAATTCCTTTATGATTTTAAATTAAGGCACTGCAACCTGTAAATCTAGGCAAAACCAAAAAATGATGCCTCCAAATAAATAAATTTATAAATGCTACAGCCTAACATTCGCTGTCCCAGGGAGGATTCTGTGCGCAAGTGAGAGCTTGGGATGGGTAGGTCAGGGGATCTAGTTCAATGTTTAGTTTTCTCCCTGATTTGCTGCATCACCTGAGGTATCTATACGTCTGGCAACAATACTTTGCTGCACATAGTATATGTCTTATCCATTTAGACTGCTATAAAGAACAAATCACAAGTAAATTGCCTGGCTTTAGGTCACACTAAAGGCTGCTGTCATACCAGGCTTTTATCCATGGCAGTGCTACTGCAAAAGAGCATGTTACTCCAATAACAAACAGAAAACCGTAACTCAAGATGAGATGATGCTTTTATGCAGTTTTCTTCAAGTAACGCTCATGGGAAAAGATGGCACATCAATAGTTAGACTGAAAGGATATTTTTAACTCATTTGAACAAAATTGTAAGAAGTAATAATCAAGAAAAACAGTAAAATCAAATTACACTACCTTATTGGTGGCAAACTTTAAAACCTTCTGGGCAGGAGAGGGCTGTTTACACCTATAGCTAGTAACTGCAGCCCCTTCCCTGTCTGACAGGAAGGGAACTGACTCCAGAATTAAAGGCAGTTCTCTCTTCCCTGAACAGAGAGGAAAGCCACATTCAGTGGGGTGGAGAAAGGTTAATAAGAAAACAGACGAGCCCAGGGACATTTTTACTGAAGCTGGACAGCAGTAGTTGCTTTAAGCACTGTGGCTGCTTTCATGTGAGCTGTTAACCTCATTTTTACCCCTTATTACAGCATCACTCCTTAAGTCTCTACTATGGCTGCAGGGTTATCCCTTCATGAAGTACAAATCTCTCAGAGAAGAAGCAAAATTGTAGCAAATTGAGGCAGAGGACAAGCAAACAGCAATAAAGTACTTGCTCGAAACAAGTTGAGCACAGTACACTTTCACCCCTCTGCTTAGCACACACAGAATTGAAGACTTATCCCAAGTAACATACTGCCCAGGTGACCCAAACTCTTTTAAGCCTGCTTTCAATGTTGTTCATTCTTTGAGAATCCCATTAACCGTAAAATAACCACCAACCACAACTTTTTTCTTTCCAAATCAGTCCAACGTTACAGTTTCCATAAGCTCAGTGGCAGAGTCACGGACCATCCTGCTCTGGAGCTGCCAGGCTGCCTGGTCAGCACGTCCCTAGCTCTGCTCTGAACACCAGACTCACTCATTCACACTCCAGCCCATGTAAGGAGGGCTCCTCTCTCCAAATTCTCTGGCAGAAGACGCCCCAAGCATAGCCCAGTAGTTTAGCATGGTTCCAGCTTTCCACTTGCACTGTTTGCAGGGAAATACAGGCTGCATGCAGATGTCCCAAACTCACCTCTTCTACGGCAAACACGAGTGTTTAACGTCTATGGCACAGCCACAGTTCAATGGACAGAAGGCATGAAAGTCAGGAGGTTCAGTGCACGTGGAATGTGTTTTCTGATCTGCTCCTTACCTTACATAGCTGCAGTAACAGGAAACTCACCTTCCATCCTCTGATGTAAGACTGTACTACAATAGCCGAACTCTTTATCTTCTGATACTTTTTTTGTTGCTGTATTGGGAATAAATATGTGATGTTTAGGACAGAGTATTGCAACTGTAAAGTACTGTATAATAAAACTTTCATTACTAACATTTGAAAATATGATTAAGGATACAAGCACTATATGTAAAATGAACAACTTTTGACCAAGCAGATCAGAGTTTAGATTCTGTGTTCACCTCGAGAGGAAACAAAGCGCATCAACAATGCTGCACAGACAATGTCACTCTCTGTTTACAGGAGCACTGACTTCATGGTCAGCAGCACAAAAGTGACATGGATTAAATACTAACAGTTACAGCTTTATTTGTCTTTCCCACCAACAGAGTGGCATACAAACCATCACAAATGCTCAGGTTTGTTGGCTAAGCTTTTTACCACCTTTTCATAAGATTTGTGCTGTTCCTATTAGCCGCAGTCCCTTTATAATACCAAATGCTGATGATAACTTAGGAACAGAAAAAATGAAAACCCATGGATTCCTGAATGACATGCTGGAATATTGTCCAAGTATGCCAATTCGAACAATAAATTTCCTGGAGAACCGAGCGTTTTCTTTCTAAAAAGCTCAGCTCTCCAGTAAACCAGCGGTTAGTATAATACTAAGCGATCAACAGCTGACAGACTTTGCAACAAGGCTTTTAGACTTTACGCTCAGCCCACTCAATTACAGTGAACATCTCTGTGAGCAAGCTAGAGAGAATCCCCTCTAGGCCACGTTCATGCCACGACTGATGTCTGTCGTGCCTCGCAAGGGAACAGACAGGCAAGTGTCCGCAGAGCCTTTAGCCAAGCCTCCAGCATAAGGAATTGTCAAAAAGCTTTGTACGTGCAAGGGATTCCTTATGAAGCCTTCCAAATCACAGTGCCTAACAGTCATGCTGGGTTAAGAGAATGACGCTCTCCATCTACATTGAGAGGCTGAAGAAATATCGCTATCGTCATCCATAAGTAATTCTGAGGGTCTTGCTATGACTTCATCCTGCATTCATAGACAATTGCTGCCATGTTTCACCAGTTAACCAGTAAAGGTCTACAGTTAAGAAATCAAGACTAATGTGAACTTGGTCACACACTTGGTTTTTTACTTCTTCATAATTAAAAGTTGTGCCAATCTAGCTTGATAACTCAATTTTTAATTCATTAAGATTGTATGAGATCATAAAGAAGCTATATGGGCACAATGCCATTCTGTAATGATGTTTTTTTGTAGAAATGGTGCATTCTATCACAGAAGTTCAGAGAGAAGAGTTTTTACAGTGAAAAAGCATTTATTCATACTTTTTCCAAATTATCTATACTTCTCTCTAATTATCCAAGATAACTGAACCAAACACTAATGGCTTTCAAGATGATAAACAGAAGTGCTCGTCAACTGAAAAACAGTGATTGTCAAGTCTGCAACTTCCAGTTTAAGACACTTTCTTTGCACATCATGTATTTTATCAAGCTTTCCAATATGCACACAATAACAAAACCCAGCTGAGATGTTTAAGAACTGTTTTAAAACTTAAAAGCAATAAAACATTTTTCTATCATGTAAGTCATTGTTATTTACTAACTGACAAAAAGACATAAAAGAGTCATGTAACAGTATTGTTCAGCTCATGACACAGAATACCCAGTCTACAAACAGGTTTGAAACTGTTTTAGAACTGTATCAATAACAACTACTGAACTACGAGTCTTATGAGCTATAATTAAAATAAATCCCTGGGATCCTCCCAAGCAGCATTCCTGAGCCTCAAATGCAAAGGTTCCAAATAAGGCAAAAAATACAAAAAGTCTTAGGAATGGCTGAATTCCACAGAATTGCACATGTATATTACCAAACATTTTTTTACACGTTAACCATATGTTTTGAAAGCACTCTAAACGCCAGGCAGCACAGCATTTTAGCTGAATGAAAAAGACTCTTCCCAGCTGCCCTACAAAATCCTGTTCTTGCAGAGCTAAAGGACTCTGGTGAGCTTTTTAATAATTGAAGCACAAGCACAAAGTAAATACTTAACAGTGGTCTCTAGAAACTGAATTTTCTTTTATTCACATTTTTGGTACTTAAATACTAACATAAAGTTGATTTTTTTCAACATTTCTCCATACATATCAAGGAAAAATATCATATGAGGATTATATGAAATATCAAAGTTCTATGAAAAAACATATTAAACAATAAAAAGAACCCCCCCATTTAGTAAGGGAATTATCTTACTGCATATCTCCTGTACCAGGAAGCAATCACAATCTGGCTTTTTTTCATCAACAAGAAGCGTGTGCGGCACTTCCAACCTCTGTAAATCTTCTCAATTAGAGTAGCCAAGTCCTCCAACCGCTGCTTTCTCAAATCTTCTAGTTTGAAGAGCTGTGTGTGAAGTTTTTTTTAGGGGTTTGTTTGGCATTGGAAGAAAAATAGTAGGGGAGAAAAGACCAAAAAAACCCATAAGCACGCTATTGTAAGAGCAATCTCTCCTTTATTCAAGTCCCCCTTGACACACCTTTAGATTTATTCATCTTCAGAGCTGTAGGCAAATGCATCAACAGGGTTTGTGGCAGATACGTTGCCACAAGTCAGTACATGAAAGTTACATTACATTCAGGCTGACAACTATTGTAGAGTCTTGATTCACACCAATTTTAATAGGTCCAACATAAAAAATTGCCTTTTTAAATGCTATATTCCACAGCAATACATCAATGCACTGTATCTAGAAAAAACTGTAGTAATCAGCTAGTAAATTATGCAGTTCAGAAGAGGCTATCCTCATGAAAGATGGTTTGATTTTGCCGGGGAAGACATTTCTCACTTACCGTTCTTGGGTTGCGGATGAATATCTTTGATCTACCAAATGAAAATTCTTCTTCAGGGATTTCCAATTCATTAAACAGTACCTCTACTCCAGCCCTAATAAGAAGTAAATGAGCTTAACAAACATGACCCCCAGCTCTAAAACTTCTTAGTTTACGTTCACAGATTAATTTATGGAAAATATATGAAAGCATATTTTAAATTCTTAAATAGTGCTTCACATAAGAAGATTGAAAACCTAACTCATTTACTCACTGGTTATTTAGCTAAAGGCAAGAATAATCACTGTAAAGATTCAGAATAATTTGATGAAAAAAGAGTAATTTTTATTTAACACCATCAGCAATGGCCTATTTTTTCCTCTTACAGCTATAAAGATTTTACCGTAAAAAAAAAGAAAAGAAAAAAGGAAGGCCTCACATACTAACATAAAAATGTGAAACAGAGACCGATGAGTTTGACAAATGCTAATGTTCTACACTCTACCAGCTGCATTTTATAAATGTCAACAAAAAAGAAAGGAGAGAAATTGTACGGAATTTTGTGAGGATTGTAACAATGCTGTTGTCATCAATACCGCACTTCCACCACTATCTTGATAACCTAAATATTTAAATTGTAGCTAAAGATATTAATCTATTATGAAAGAAATTTAAATCACGCTATTGGTGGCCAAATGTAAGAAAAATTAAGAGGAGCTCATTTGCCTACTCAAGATGTCATCTGTAAAAATACATGTCCATACTATGCGATTTAAAATTACATACTTCATACAATTGATTTGCAAGAGGTATTATCTCATAGTTGTTCACTGATCATTATGTAAAATTATTCTTGAAAGGATAAAGGAAGATTGCATGACTGTCTTCACAGAAATGGGTGTTCCTACACTTTGAAAGTTGGTTATTAAAGATAAGTGTCCTTCTGATCATTCCAGACCTCCTCATGATTCTACTCCATTATCTCTCTCCCCACCACTTTCTTTCAGGCCCAAATCAGTATAAAGGCTGAAATATATTCCAAACCCAACGTGCTCTCCTTGCTCTTTTCTGTTAGAAGATTACTGCATAATTAAAATCATGTCCTTTGCCAAGGAAATGTAATTTTTAGCCTACTGAAAAGTATAGGTTTCCCAGTGAAATCATCCAAAATCCAGAACAAGATCCTAAGGAAAACATACAAGTAAAACATTTGAGCCGCACTGGCTTAGTTTTAATTTACTTTTAAAATATTTGAACATTCATTAAATAAATAAATAAATAAATACCAGAACATGTGGGAGACAGTAATTTCAATCATTGGAACAGGACAGGTAAGAATACTGATGTTTTCCTACCTGGCTGGCCCTCTCCAGTGGGGCCATGTCTGCTTACACAGCATTTTGTACCTTTCCAGGCAAGGCTCGTACGCCTGCCTGAATGCATAACCTGCCCTTCTGACTCGGACGTTCTCCAGAAGACCGAGGTAGCGGATCTGGTGGCACACCAGGGCATCATTGAAAATGTGTGCAGCCTTTTTGTCGTTGGGTTTGATGCACCTGGAGAGGGAAACCAACAGGGACGCTTGTTTGCAGCACTGTACATGTCAACAACTATTATTGTGAGTTTAAACCACACATTTCAATAGTTCAGCTGTGGATATCAACACTTTTCAAATTCTTAACTTTGCTAAACATAAATTCACCAAAGCTTTGTCACAGGGTAATTTACCTAATGTAGTTTGGATTTTTTGTCTGAAGATTTTTCATCAGGGTAGCAACCGAAGCCTTGAACTGTGAACCTGCCGTCGGTGGTCTCTTCAGATTGATCTTAGCGGGGTTACCTTCTGGGAACAACGCTTTGATGAGAGTGTGACTGGCCTTCCACATGGCCTGGGAGAGGTCCCGGTACAGAAGATCATTATTTTTGTCAACAAATCCTTCCACCTGGTACATAACCTGAACAATACAGAAGAGCCTCATCAGAGCATGTTTTGAACTGTAACATAGGACAGTTCAAAATTGAACCAAGAAATTGATTTCTCCTTTCTCACTATCCAAAAAAAACAAAAGACATTTTAGCTTCCCTTTTAAATTTGACATTTGGAAGACTTTGTTGGATAAAACTTCTTTGAACACGTTTCCTGAGAAAGATGCATTTTCTCACACTGCTAACAGGTCATTATGCTGATCAATTCTGGTTTCTGAAATGGAAAAAACCCATCATCCCTGGTAACTCTGACACACCACCGCTTGCCAATACTCCAAAACAATCCTTTATTGGCTGAAAAAAAACTTTTCTCCTTCTCTTTTGAATCACAACAGCAAAAATACCCTTTCCCTTCAAAGTACTAATGCTTACATTATTTGCCTGAAACGAGATATGAAATATCACCTCTTGATATCACAGCAGCCAGCAGCTATCCATGCAGTTCTCAGGGGACTGTTATTTTAAAGGACTTTTACCAGGAAAACAGTCCAACGACGACAAGCATGAATGCAAAGCTCTGACCTGCAGCTGGAGACCCAGCAGGCATCCAGGGGAACTTCATGCAGATCTCAGATTGCTACTGGCTTTTTTAATTTTTGAGGGTAGGGAATTTAGTTTGATTAATTGTGACCAGTCATCCGGCTGGTAATACAGATTCTTCAGCTTCATGATTTCTCAGTTCTGTGTAGATATGTACTATGTACACAGAATACCGAATAAGACTAACACTGACATAGCCATATTTTACACAACAGCAAGGGACTGGGAATTCAGGCAGCATTGTTCTTTGGAGTACACATTTCTGTTTCAGACAGATGTGGTAAATGCCACTACTGAAAAAAAAAACCAAACAAACCTGCTCATATGAACTTGCTTATATTTCATAAATGGAGAATCAAACTTTTGTTGTCTAGTGACTAGATCAAAATGTTCTCAGCTGAGGATGGAAAAACAACATTCCTCCCAAAATAGGAGGAATTCACTGACTGCTCTACTGGGTAAGTGAATGCCAATAACAATCAAAGACCCTCACTGCCTGCTAAGGCACAGTCTGTTTGCAGTCCTTCTCAAAGCAATGGGGTATTTTCAATTCACTTTGAATTTGGAAAAGCAAAGAAGCATCTAAGTATTAATCCCCAATAGAATATATGCCATTACAAAACATTCTTATGAAATACATAACATAAAGGTAATGAATGGCTGCCTCGAGGGTGGAAATTATGACATTTCCAGCACTATTTTGAATGAGCAAGTTATCGAGCTATTCAAAATTTTAAGATTGAGAAAATGTTAAAAAATAGGGAAGTATTAAAGTCCTAGCAAATTGAACACTTTCCAAATAGTCACTACTCTATGGAATTAACTAGATTCAAACAAGAGGTATAGTTTCAATCCCTATCCTTACTTTTTTTTTCCTTCTTTTTTACGAATGTAATGATTTTTATTTTTATTATTAAAAAGTCATACTGGATTATACATCAAAAACTATCAGAATTGTATTTATTCATACTGCTTATGTTGTAAAAAGCAAATATATTTGCAAGCCCTCTGTATAGCTTTCTCTTCCATCTGTTTAAACATGTAGGCTGTCAAAATAAACTTAGTTCCTTCAAACATACAAAAACTCTACTTTCTCATCAATATGACTAAGGACTTCAGCTAGTTCAGTGACAAAGAACATGTTTTCCAAAATGTCTTGCCTTCAGATCTGTGTGAATTTTTGTCATTCTAAACAACATTTTTATTTCCAGACACCCTAGCAGCACAAGCAGTTCACCACCAAAGCACATGGGACATCGTTTTCCTTTGCTGAAAGGAATACCGCCCTCGATTTCAACTAGAGCGGCATGATCTCTGAAAACCTTCCAGCCCAAATCACAAATCTTAGGCTTAAGATAGAAAAGATTAAGACTGATCTGGACTTTTTGATCAACTATTGACTCAAGCAATTCTCCTCCATTACTGTAACATCATGTAATGGATGAAGAGCCTCCCCACTGTACCAAACCCAGGCTTCACACAGGTATAACACCCTCCAAACACTGCGTACTCCCCGCTTCACCAGGTACCTTGCCAGCGTAATGCTGAATCCTGAAGCAGCTGTGAGGCAAGGTGGTGTCGTTGAGGAACCGGGAGCACTTGCTCATCCTGCTCTCAAAATGCTGGTGAGTGGCACAGACTTGGTTCAGTTTTTCTAAAAAGGTGTCATCGGTAACAGTTCCTGGTCTCAGGCATTCTTCGTCTAGCATGGCCAGGATTCCAGTTTGGTTCTGAAGTTTCGAGACAAGAACTTTAGTGTTTGTTTCCATCACATTTCCATCAAGGCATAAAAAAGAGACCGCGCTCTCTTCCTGTTTGACTTTTGCTACCCAGAAAAACGTTCTTCAAGCCATCTCAAAGTTTGGTTCTCTTCCTCATCCCCACTTCCAACAGATTTTTAGTATCTGCGTTTTTGAAAGACTGCTTCTGAGATCTGAATCTTGAACTTCATGTGCGAATTTCATATCATTTACTCAGACTGTAGAAACTCCAAGTTAACTGGAAGTAGCCAGTTTATGGGTAAAACCAGCACATGTTTTATGTTAATAGTTAAAACCTGTTCTTTTCCGATTGTTAAGGAATTTTATCATTCTTGCTGTGCTAAGTCCATAGGAAGTCCTCTTATTAGATACAAGTACTTTATGTACCTAAAGCACTCAGTAACAAGTCATTGAGTTTTCTAGTTTCCATATAAAAAGAAATGTCATTTATAATGCAGCATGTGATATCTGCTATTGAAAACAGCACTAAAGTAAACATTTAACGGTTGTTTGGTGGTTGTGGGGTTTTTGTGTAGGTGCTGCTGAACACCTCTAACAAAGCAACACAGAGTCTTATAATATTTTTTTTTTCAGTAAAATAAACTTTTACCATACAAAATAAGATGACATACAATGAGTAGCTTGTTTTCTAAAATCAAAGGGCATGAGGATGTGGTACAGACTTTACAGCTAAATTCAATGCACGCATTAAAAAATTATTCAGAGAGATTCTAGAATATAACTTACATTTTCTATTAGGTCACAAATTATAGCATTGTTGAAATACTCAATATGAGTCCATTCAATCCCCTATTAGAAAAAAAGAATAAACGTATGAACAGGAAAACAATCGAGGGAGTTTTTCCTCTAGGCAATTGAAATTATATACCAGTTAACTAAGATACCACTTCCAAATGTAATTCTATGTGTTTACCAACATTTTATTTATTAAGAAAGAAATGCAATCATCTACTGCTAACATTATCTGTGCAAAATGACTGTCCCCAAGCGGCTGCCAAACCCGGTCTCCATTCCTTTCCCCCACCCGTGTCAGCTTCCCATGCACTCCCCTGGCGCCCCGCCAGACCCCTCCCGCCCCAGCTCCGCTCTGCCCACGCTCCCACTCGTTAGAAGGAAATAAGCCCATTTCACTGCAAGCATCCTGGATCACAATTTCTAAGCTCTTAGTTGTTGGGTTGGTGTTTTGTTTTTTTTTAATGGGAAGAAGAAAGAGGGTTAAATTTAGATGAGTCCATCTGAAAAATCCAGAGTCTGGCTGTTGTTCAGATATTCTTAATACCCTATTTTTTTCAAATTTCCAGGATGAAATGCCAATGCATCAGGAGGTAATATGGGTAGGGCAAAGGACTGGAAAAAAATAATATTAATTTCATTCTTAATTTGCATTCTGCGGCACATCTTACGGTTTAGTTTTTTCAAAATGTTTTAAATATCGCTCAAGAAGCAAATTGCAGTAATGATGTTTCAAGAGTTTTATCACTGAATGCCAAAATAAAAAAAGACATGCTAAAACTTCATATTCTCCTCAGGATTATAAGGCAGGAATCTTATTCAATTTTTAAAATTGTTTACCCAGCAAAATGGCATCATCCAATTTGAGTACGGACAGCATATGCTGGTTTCTACAGCTGTGAGCTGATATTTTGTCTGAACTCTGTATATCACAGGGAGCACTGCTAAAACCTAATAAAACTTTAACTCAACATACACTCACAGAATAACATCAAACATCAGAGTCCAGGCTCCAAAGCACATCTTAAAATTTACCTGTAGAGCTTACACAGCTTCCTTCAATACTCAATTGAGAGAAAACTAGAACCAAAATCTACGTGTAGTTTCTTTCATGTTGCACGCTATTGTTTCACCCACCCAATTCCCTTTTGAAACAGGATTAGCTGTGGCCACTGCTGGGGTGTATCCCAGACGCTACTGTGTAATCCAAAACACAGGCTGTAGGGTAATGGCACTAATACCAGAAAGCAGTATTAGCCTTCTAATAAATGAATTAGCCCTTGCTCAGAACTGCTAGTCATTGATGCCAATAATTGAGAGTTGGCTCTGGTTTGTACCTGGAGAACTCAGAAAGTGAAAGAAAACCCAAACCAACTTTTTTTGCTTAATGTAACTACCACACAGTCCTACACAAACACACTCCATGCCAGGCCTGTGGCCAAAAAGTGACTCTGTTCCCTGAAAAGAGATTCCAGCATGCATGCCTGTGTATCTTCATTACAGGAACAACAGGAAGAGGAGAGGATAAGGAAAGATCCATTATTACCTCTCGGATGTATTCCTCCTGCTCTTCTTTGAGGGTGAGTTCAATGAAGATCTGCTGCAACTTCTCATTACAGTAGTTGATAATGAATTGCTCAAAGCTGTTGTCCTGTCAGATAAAACATGTTTGCATTTGCTGTTGTGTAAGCACCCTGGAACTCAGCTGGAGTAAGTTACTGCAGCAGCTGCAAGTCAACACGCTGCTTTAACTACTCCTTGCAACTTCGCAATGGGATGGTCTGAGTAATATTTTATGGAGGATGAGATTAGTTTGGAAATTTTAGACCAAGTCCTTCCCTGAGACTTTCTCCACTGGGAGGGACAGAAACTCTGTAGGTTTCTATTCGTGATGGCTCTGTATTGATTCCTTGGGACAAGTCATAAGGAGGTCTGTGGTGTCCGGGAATAAACAACAAAAGTTTTGCCTGCACTAATCTGTCCCCACATGTAAATGTAGTCCCCTGCAGGTTCTGATAAATAAAATTATGCAGGTAGCATTAGCTTTTTTCCAACCAGGATCCCTCAGTAGCCAAGAAAGTCTCCTGTTTCACTACAGACCGAGGCCCAAGCTGCTCTTCTGGTTGCAGCAGAGCCTGGGTTAAGAGATTATTGACTCCAGAGGTCAACCCACCTCCTCCCTGCCAACAAACTGCTTGTATAATTGCCCCCTGAAATGATGGGAATTAAAAAACTTGATCAGCCAAAAATCCTTTAAAAGGCCAACTCATATAAAACTGGGTTAGGGAGCGAGCACGCACGTGACCCTTTGCAGAAGGGACCGGGGAATAGAGCAGACCCCAGGAGGAGGGGTGGGCAGTGGGAAGGCTGCTCAGCAACTGCACCCACGGCAGCCTACTCCATCACAGCTGCGCGGCAGGACGGCTGCAGGAGCAGGGCTGTGACATTGCACAGCACGCTTCCAGAGGGACACACGTCAGCATCGGAAACGATGGCCACAGCAAGCCCCTAAATACCAGAGGTATTTTAAAAAAGCCTACTAAAGCTTTACTGCTAACATCACCAGGGCCACGGCTGCAGCATAAAAGCTGTGGTTCACCACTTCATTATCTTAAATGAGTGCAGTTTGGAGGCCAGGTGCCCATTCTGAGGACTGGTTTAAAATGCCACTTTCAAAGAAAAAGGAAACGGCAGCTTCACTTGGTTTTTTCCAGTGCTTGAAAGAGTCATTAATATTGAAGGATTCCATACATGTTATCTGCAGAAATAACTGCAATCAAGAGTAATTTTGGATATCTGCTGCTGGTTTCTCTTCTGAGCTTTGTGGTTGTGGGTTTCCCCCTCCCTCGTCCCTTTTTTTTTTTTTTAATTCTTTCTTAATTACTAGTCATCAAGAATACTTTGGTTATTTAGGAACCCTGAAAATTTGCAGAATAAACCACTACGCCTTTTTACACTGTCAAATAAGTCTGCTGTACAATGCTTGTGAAGCTCAAGTTACAGTGACTCAATTTTTATGACTAAGGGCAACTGCAATCATTTAAATGTTTTAAATTAAGGATCTGGTTGCTCAAATGAGATTAAGAACACACAAGCAGATTAGAAAAATATTGAGGTAGCACAGATTACTTTTATCATTTTAGTTTTAGGTAAAGCAAAAATCATAGCTGATCACCACACTTTTTGAGCCACATCAAACTCTGCCCCTCACACCAATTGCAATTATCAATCAAGGATTGCAAAATTTGCGTAGCTCTAGATGAGAAAGTTAAAATTTGGCATGCACCAAAATCAGCACTGCAAACAAGTCATACTTACTGCATTCTGTTGCAAAAAGAAATTACATAAACTGCAGTCAGTACTTATACTACTTCCATAACAACACAGACTATAATATATCTATTAGCATTTATTTGGTGTACCAAGTAGATCAGTCTAAGACTCATTTCTATGTCACTGAAAATGTGAAGTACTATACAGAAATGTTATGTATTACTTCTTTGTAGATGAGTGTATCTTTAGGTGCTATCCAAAGATTATCAAATAAACCAAGGCGCATCAGAGTCTAACACAGAACAGCATTCTTGCATTGTCACATTTCTAAGTTGCCATGTCTCTTTTGTCTCAAAAAGCCATATATATAGCGCTCCGTAGACAAATCTCACTAAAGGGAGAGGAGAATGGGAGAGGGAAGAGAGAGTACTGGAGGAAGAATGAGTAAAAGTTTGACATATTCAGATAAGGCCATCACTTTAGACATATTGAGGTGAAGTACATGGACCCCAACTGACACATCACCCTGGCAAAGTGGAAGGGTAGAACACACTCGACATCCTCCTGCCAGGCACATGCCACCCAGCGCAGAAAGATTGTTTCTCCAAAAGACCATGTTAGTTCGATTACAAAGACTGCAGGACTTTTCGCTCACATGTTATTCAGAGTCTTCGTCTTCAAAAGAGGATGGAAACTGGACTGCAAATCCAGCTAAACCATCCAACTCAAATGTCATTAACAATACATTAAAAGTAATTGCTAGATGCATTCCTGATTTGCTATGTATCTGTGATATTTATGGTTTGCCAAAGGAAGGCAAACCAAAATCCACAGAGTTCTTCACAAATCACTCACTCTAAGCTATGAAATTCTATTTGGCATTGCCAAGCCACTGAAAATTGCTATTCCAGGAAAAAAAGTCATTGAAGCAGTAGCGATTTTGGTCTTTATGCTCCATACAGAGCAAAAGGCTAACAGTTAATTACAGCAAAGAAATGAGGAAAAATGTTTGGAATTACTGGAATTCTCAAGACACTTAACTCTGAACAGACCAGAAGACATTTGGTAAATTAAATACAGTTCAGAAAGAGGCATCTCCTACAGGTTTGAAGAAACACCATATGAAAAAATGATTTGAGTGCTTATCTCTGGACTTATCTGAATAAGGCAATAGAGATTCTGTGAATTTAATCTCCCTTGCTGCATATCTATAATTTTTTATTATGCAAGGACTTCACAAATCACAGATGAATGCTCACAAATGAATTGTCCCCTCACATTTTAAAGAAAGCTCCTAGAAATTAACATGATAGAACAAGAAGGCATCTAAAGGACTTCTGACATTGTTTTTTAGAAGACAATAGAGAATGGTTAATATCAGTGATAGCACATCACTAATGCAGGAGAAACAGGCTGGGAGGACCCAAACATCGAGAGACTGTACTTGCTCCTTATGCCAGCATTAAGTGCCAGAAGGGGTTTTGACAAACACAGAAGCAGCACAGTCAGACCCAAAATTTCAGGAAGAGATAGTAATTACAAATACTCTTGGGAAATCTTAAGGAAAAAAAATATTTAAGCCAGCACTTCTCAAATGCTTAAGAGTGTCAGCTTCTCTTCCAGGCTGTAATTCTGCTACTTTAATGTTGAGAGCATCATTTCAATCCCTGTATTTTTATAGCAGCATTTCAAACTATCCCTTTGAAATCGCTGTGGAATACAAAATGTAACCTTTGGGGAAGAAAAAACCACTCAGTCTCTCAAATTAAATTAAAAGTGCTGGGAAACAGAATGTCACCTGAGATAAGCTTAAAGTCATGTCAAATTTATAGATACAGATCAACCAATCACCCTCAGCTTACTCTCTCAATCTTTTATCAGATGCAACAATAAATTTAGACAAGTAGAAAAATTCACGAACAAAAATCAAAGCCTACTTCACTGTGGTTTTTACTTCACAAATAATGGGGTCTTGCTCATGCAGCTTTATTCTTTATCAACCTTCAAATTACTGGGCATCAAGGTGGCATTTCATGAATAGCAAGTTTTTGTACTTGTAAAAAATTCTGCTCTGTGCAAAAATATAGTGTTTAGATAAACAAGTAGATCACGATGTTGCACTCAAGTTGTTAGAGTCAATCGTGAAAAGACAAGAAGTTCTAGTTTTGAACCACTGCTATTACATGAATTACATACAGGTGCTTGAAAGTCTAAGGAAAATATTTTTTGTTCCTTAATATTTTACTTGATTTCTTCTTTGGAAGGTTCCAGTCATGTGTATCATGGAATAATCTGCAAAAACACCTATGGATGTTCCCGACCTTATCAAATGTTACACCAGTAAAATACCAATAGCAAACAGATAAAATAAAAATATCTTTGTCAAAAAACCTCCATGCTTACACTAAAAGTCTCTTACTGGTCTCAGGCAGATGTGTCTCCACATGCTGATGCTGAGTGTCATTTCTTGCATCAGATTTACAAACACAAAATATCTAAACCAGGGTATTTTCCTATGAAAACCAGCTATCTTCTAACCTCCTCTCCCCATAGCGTATTCAAATTCACTTTTGAGTACCCAGATTCCAGTGATTTCCAGAGACAGAGGCAACTAAGATACCTAACTTAAAACTGAAAACTGGGTACTTTTCCATACAAGTAGGTAGGAATAAATCCTTATCTTCCACCTGCCTAATAAAATCGTAGTTTAAGTGTTCCATTATCTTGTGTCCTCTTGGCTTCACTGTTTTCCCCAAATCAAGCATATGTTGTTGATCCAAATCTACAGACTTAGCTATATCATCAGTATCACACCTATACAAGGTGTTTCTCGATATTTCCTCTTCCTTCTTAATCTTTCACCACACCAGTTCTTGCTGAGTGCCAATTCAAAAATCTACACATTGCTCTGCCTAGAACCACAATGACAAAAAGGTGTTCAGCAACACCTTTTCAAACACCTTATGTGAACACATACAATTAAAAAAATATGAGACGTATTTAAAGAAAAAGCATAATTTAAAACAAAACTTAAACACTTCAAATCATGAGACTGTCTGTTGAAATCAACAGAACTAATACTATCAAACTGAACTTTTTGGTTAATATGGAGGGATGGGAAGACATAAAGAAACTGATGCTTCTGCTCTAACACACATAGCCCCAGAAAACAACTTTTTTCAACATCAGTGCAGCTCCAGGCATCAGAAGTCTCTGACCTCCTCCTAACATAGGCAGGTGATCCCAGGTAGTTCCATCAAGCCCCTGGACTACTACTGAGGCTCCTAGAGAAGAAGCCAGATGGCAAAAGTAATGATGATAAAAGACCAACAGACTCGCTTCACTGAGATGAATGGTGGAATGAATGGTGAAACCAAC